CGCTAACGTGACAGTCTGCTAACTTTACAGTCTGCTAACTTTACAGTCTGCTAACTTTACAGTCTGCTAACATGACAGTCCGCTAACGTGACAGTCTGCTAACTTTACAGTCCACTAACGTGACAGTCCGCTAACTTTACGGTCTGCTAACATGACAGTCCGCTAACGCGACAGTCCTAACGCGACAGTCCGCTAACGCGACAGTCCGCTAACTTTACAGTTTTTACCGGTTTTGAGATCCCCGCACCCGAGGCGCGTGTGGCCCTCTGCTGGCGCGGGATATGTCAGGAAAAACATTTGTCTAGATTGTCATGTTAGCAGACTGTTAACATGACAGTCTGCTAACTTTACAGTCTGCTAACGTGACAGTTTGCTAACGTGACAGTCTGCTAACATGACAGTCTGCTATCTTTACAGTCTGCTAACTTTACAGTCTGCTAACGTGACAGTCTGCTAACATGACAGTCTGCTAACTTTACAGTCTGCTAACGTGACAGTCTGCTAACTTCACAGTCTGCTAACGTGACAGTCTGCTAACGTGACAGCCTGCTAATGTTACGTCTGCTAATGTTATGGTCTGCTAACGTGACCGCCTGCTAACATTACAGTCTGCTAACGTAACAGCCTGCTAACTTTACAGTCTGCTAACATTACGATCTGCTATCGTGACAGTCTGCTAATTTTACAGTCTGCTAACTCTACAGTCTGCTAACATTACAGTCTGCTAATTATGGTCTGCTAACGTGACAGCCTGCTAACGTGACAGCCTGCTAACATTACGGTCTGCTAACGTGACAGCCTGCTAACTTTACAGTCTGCTAACATTACGGTCTGCTAACATGACAGTCCGCTAACTTTACAGTCTGCTAACTTTACAGTCTGCTAACATGACAGTCTGCTAACTTTACAGTCTGCTAACGCGACAGTCTGCTAACTTTACAGTCTGTTAACATGACAGTCTGCTAACTTTACAGTCTGTTAACATGACAGTCTGCTAACGCGACAGTCCGCTAACGTGACAGTCTGCTAACTTTACAGTCTGCTATCTTTACAGTCTGCTAACTTTACAGTCTGCTAACTTTACAGTCTGCTAACTTTACAGTCTGCTAACATGACAGTCCGCTAACGTGACAGTCCGCTAACGCGACAGTCCGCTAACGTGACAGTCTGCTAACTTTACAGTCTGCTAACTTTACAGTCTGCTAACGTGACAGTCTGCTAACTTTACAGTCTGCTAACTTTACAGTTTGCTAACTTTACAGTCTGCTAACATGACAGTCCGCTAATATAACAGTCCGCTAATGCGACAGTTCGCTAATGTGACAGTCTGCTAACTTTACAGTCTGCTAACATTACGGTCTGCTAACGTGACAGCCTGCTAATGTTACAGTCTGCTAATGTTATGGTCTGCTAACGTGACAGTCTGCTAACTTTACAGTCTGCTAACATTACAGTCTGCTAACGTGACAGCCTGCTAACATTACAGCCTGCTAACTTTACAGTCTGCTAACATGACAGTCCGCTAATATAACAGTCCGCTAATGCGACAGTTCGCTAATGTGACCGCCTGCTAACTTTACAGTCTGCTAACATTACGGTCTTCTAACGTGACAGCCTGCTAACATTACAGCCTGCTAACTTTACAATCTGCTAACATGACAGTCCGCTAATATAACAGTCCGCTAATGCGACAGTTCGCTAATGTGACAGTCTGCCAACTTTACAGTCTGCTAACATTACGGTCCGCTAACGTGACAGCCTGCTAACATTACGGTCTGCTAATGTTATGGTCTGCCAACGTGACAGTCTGCTAACTTTACAGTCTGCTAACTTTACAGTCTGCTAACGTGACAGCCTGCTAACGTGACAGTCTGCTAACTTTACAGTCCACTAACGTGACAGTCCGCTAACTTTACGGTCTGCTAACATGACAGTCCGCTAACGCGACAGTCGGCTAACGTGACAGTCCGCTAACTTTACAGTTTTTACCGGTTTTGAGATCCCCGCACCCGAGGCCGCGTGGCCCCTCGGTGCTGGCGGCGGATATGTCAGGAAAACATTTGTCTAGATTGTCATGTTAGCAGACTGTTAACATGACAGTCTGCTAACTATACAGTCTGCTAACATGACAGTTTGCTAACGTGACAGTCTGCTAACATGACAGTCTGCTATCTTTACAGTCTGCTAACTTTACAGTCTGCTAACGTGACAGTCTGCTAACATGACAGTCTGCTAACTTTACAGTCTGCTAACGTGACAGTCTGCTAACTTCACAGTCTGCTAACGTGACAGTCTGCTAACGTGACAGCCTGCTAATGTTACGGTCTGCTAATGTTATGGTCTGCTAACGTGACCGCCTGCTAACATTACAGTCTGCTAACGTAACAGCCTGCTAACTTTACAGTCTGCTAACATTACGATCTGCTATCGTGACAGTCTGCTAATTTTACAGTCTGCTAACTCTACAGTCTGCTAACATTACAGTCTGCTAATGTTATGGTCTGCTAACGTGACAGCCTGCTAACATTACGGTCTGCTAACGTGACAGCCTGCTAACTTTACAGTCTGCTAACATTACGGTCTGCTAACATGACAGTCCGCTAACTTTACAGTCTGCTAACTTTACAGTCTGCTAACATGACAGTCTGCTAACTTTACAGTCTGCTAACGCGACAGTCTGCTAACTTTACAGTCTGTTAACATGACAGTCTGCTAACTTTACAGTCTGTTAACATTACAGTCTGCTAACGCGACAGTCCGCTAACGTGACAGTCTGCTAACTTTACAGTCTGCTAACTTTACAGTCTGCTAACTTTACAGTCTGCTAACATGACAGTCCGCTAACGTGACAGTCCGCTAACGCGACAGTCCGCTAACGTGACAGTCTGCTAACTTTACAGTCTGCTAACTTTACAGTCTGCTAATGTGACAGTCTGCTAACTTTACAGTCTGCTAACATTACGGTCCGCTAACATGACAGCCTGCTAATGTTACAGTCTGCTAATGTTATGGTCTGCTAACGTGACAGCCTGCTGTAGTCTGTTGCTGTTAACCTTTAGCCAAACTCTGTTTCGAAGTAGTAGAAGCGTGAAACGATGTTTTCAGAAAGTCATTTTTTGTTAACAATTTCTCTTCCTTGTCGTCCCCACACGGTCCCGGATAAGAAAGACATGGTGTATCTTCATACTGCAACCCTCCTCCTGTTCAAGTAATGTGGGAATCTGACACCGGTCTTTTCAGCGTCCTCAAACTTTAATTCATAGTGATTGGATTACCAAATCTGGCAAGGGGTTTCCTCACCCGCATGGACTCACAGGCACACACAAACAGAGCCAATGCAGTTAAAAATACTTTGCATTGAAGCTTTGCAAGCAAAACAGTAAAAAAACGTCATTCACAAGCCCCCATAGAACCATAATGCTGTACCAACGGTTTGATCCTGCTCCATTTGTTTAAATTTACAGATTTTATTGATCATTAACTGTTCGTATAAAAAGTGTGCGGCTCTACACTCTGGCTATTCATGGAGATGTGCTGGGTGGCAGGGTCAATGTAGCCATCATCAGGATCTATGTAACTGTA